CACGCCGAGCTCGACCTCACTTCCCAACCGGCTGTCGACGAGTTCTTCGCCGCTCACCGGCCCCGCTACGTCGTCCTCGCCGCTGCTAAGGTCGGCGGCATCCACGCCAACAACACCTACCCCGCCGACTTCATCACCGTCAACCTCCAGATCCAGACCAACGTCATCTCCTCCGCTCTCCGCCACCAAACCCTAAAGCTCCTCTTCCTCGGCTCCTCCTGCATCTACCCCAAATTCGCCCCGCAGCCCATACCCGAGTCCGCCCTCCTCACCGGCCCGCTCGAGCCCACCAACGAGTGGTACGCCGTCGCCAAGATCGCCGGGATCAAGATGTGCCAGGCGTACCGCCTCCAGCACTCGTTCGACGCCATCTCCGCTATGCCCACCAACCTGTACGGCCCCAACGACAATTTCCACCCGGACAACTCCCATGTCCTTCCAGCCCTTCTGCGCAGGTTTCACGAGGCCAAAGCCAATGGTGCCGGTAGCGTGGTGGTTTGGGGGAGTGGGACCCCTCTGCGCGAGTTTCTGCACGTAGATGACCTGGCGGATGCCATAGTTTTTTTACTGGAGAATTACAGTGGTGTGGAGCATGTGAATGTGGGGAGTGGGAAGGAGGTTACCATTAAGGAGCTTGCTGAGCTTGTTAAGGATGTGGTTGGATATAAAGGGGAGATTGTTTGGGACTCGAGCAAGCCTGATGGGACGCCGAGGAAGCTCATGGATAGCTCGAAACTTGCTGGCATGGGATGGGAGCCCAAGATTTCTCTCAAGGATGGGCTTGTGGGTACTTACAAGTGGTATCTGGATAATGTGGCTGGGAAGCAATGACGATAGACAGGTGACTTTTTTTTTTTTCCGGAAACTTTGTTGATTGGTTTTGTTTGATTTTGCTTGTGCTATATGTGTAAGAATATGAGATTTGTGATTCTATCAATTGAGATAGATGTGTTGGTTATGGCTATTGCTCAGAGTATGAGAGTGCAATTATCTCAATTCTCAAATAGGCAGTGTGGCTTTTCTATGAGTTTCTAAGGGTCAAACGATAAAGGTTAACATAGTATGTTGTGATGTCAATTGCTGGTTTCTTATAAGATGGATTTATAATTGCTGTTAACTGGCTATAGTATTATAGGATGATGTTAGTTTGTGGATGCTAAGTATTGTGAATTGATTGGTGCGCGGCTTCAAATAGTTCGCACGGGAGAAAGGATTTTGGTTCCTTGACTATTGTAAACGGAAACAGCTGAATATTGGTTAAGCTGATGAGCATTTGTCATATACAAGTTACTGAGACTATATTGCACCTTTAACCAAAAGAGTTGTTTCAAAGATATGTTGTACTTGTCTCTATATCTTATTGACACTGTTAATCGCTCTCGCCTGGCTCTGCTTGGTCTTTGAGTAGACCAATATGCTCCAATTGTAAGCCCATCATGGGGACCACATTCTACAACACTGCTTGTTATTGCATGTTATTGCAGATTCTGCCATAGGATTTTTCACATTTAAGTGATTTCATAAAACAATCTGTAGAATATTCGAAGATGCTATTGTTTGTGGTTTAGAATTGAATGCTCTTGCAATTTTATTATAGAAACTCGTCCGTATGAGATGACTTTATCTGATCCATTTTGAGTTAAAGTAGCTCGTTTGAATTTTCCTCAGCTTCCTTTTATTTGTCTTCTAATCTTGATGTATATGCCCTGGAGCCATGTTATGGAATATATGTTGCAGTTAAATGAAAGTATGTTCTGTACTTCAAGAAATATGGTTTGATATAATAGCTTGACAATGTCAGGTGTTTTCAAGTTCGATATAATCTTTGTTGTAACGTGTAATTACCAGTGTCGTAGTTTACATTGTATTGTCTGTATTTCCGAGAGCTGATTTTAGAGACCACCTTCACCGCTTCACACACGTGCCTGTTTTGATTTCTGAGTACATAAACTTACGCATTTGATGAGATCAGCCTTCTTCTTTGCCTTAATTCTTTCTGAGGCCACACAAATCCAGAATGTGTCAATATAAATGCTACGCATTTTCTATTTTTTCTTTAGTTTTGGGTTTTGGGCACTAGCATGCTTAATTTTATGTTTTTGGTTTTTCTATTGAACATGATGATTTACAGAGGGATACTGGTGAAAAGGCCAAATTGCACATAATGGAAGCCGAGCCTGATAGAAAATACTGGCAAAGGATTTACTCAGAAGGCTTGGCCCAGCCCGGCCCATTAACCTACCTACTTCTGATCTAGAACTTGCTTTCGGATGACCATGGCAGATATTTCATAAATGTAGTTAACCTTGAAGTGAAATAACAATTCTCACTTCTCTTCTCAGTGTAAATGTATGAAACAATTAGCACAATATATATGCTTTTGAATGGCAGTGCTTAATCAAGAACATTTCTATATATGTTTTTGCACACACATAAAAGAATTCCCTCAGTCTGAGTTGCTTGCAAAACCTTTCGCAGTTCAATAAAAATGCCGAACACTTGCTATAACTATTCCACAAAATAAGTCGATTGTCTCATGCACAAAATGCGGTAAGTTCTGCACTAAATTTGCAGCAGCACAAAACTACATTGAGAAAAAAAGAAACTCAGATGTGGTTCTTTTCACATCTTTATACACCGTTACCCGATAATAATACACAAAAATTTTACAGCGGGCACAAGCTCTTTACTCGAGATTCTCCTTTGTATAATGCATTCAGCAGCAAAAGCAGATATATAACAACAGGAAAGAAATCTATGCGCCGCTAAACTACAACTGCAGATTAAAAACATCAGTCTACAACAATTCTTACAGTTCTCTTCGATGTCCTTTGTCTTTTAACACACCAAGATGAGACCAACTCCACCTTCGTATTGGTCCCGAACACAATCTTTCTTGTGGTCCCCAAATGCCCGCTACAGTTTCGAGCTCCACAACAGCATTCAACCTCCGGCCCAAACTGCACGAACCTGTAACAGTGGAAACATTTACAATCTTTATCTATAGAAGGCACTACATTTCTAAAACCTATTCAGTTAAGCGAACTTTCTGAACTGTATATGGTTAAACATGAGAATGCACTTAAATTCGACTGGCAAATGCTCCATTTTTGTCTCATACTTATAACTATACCGTCTCGCATTACAATATTTGTTACTTTTTACGTCATTTCTTGTTCTCATTGTTGACAACAGTGAATACTATCATACATTCATAAGTTGCAGCATAATATACGTCTAGGCGCAAATAAATCAGAAATACAAAAAAAATAGCGGCACGTTTCTTGTGGTGATTTCTGTGCAACAATTACGCAAATATAGGTTTCTAGGTTAGGTTTATTATTGCAACATTAGCGCAAAGACAGAATTCACAGAGTGTATAGATCAGACTAATTAAAAAGGTCAGTTGATTGACATGTTGAAAGGTAGAATTATGAATGATAACAGTTAACAATAATAAAGAAAAGTAACTCATTGACACATACCTGTAATCATAGGTCAGTGCTTCTCCGGCCCTGATCGATCTGGATGCAAAGACACCGACGCGGACCTCACCTTCGACCTGCCTATTGATTATGCAAAACAATAACATATATAATTAGATTTTTTTTTTTTTTTTTTTCCATATAAACTAAATTTCATTGATAAAATAATTATCACAACTGTTCGAAATTGCGCTATTTAACTCACAATTTACATCGCCTTTAATTCAACAATCTTCGACAACGAAAGAAATAAAATAACAACGAAATGGTTGTAAATGAAATACCAAAAGTATACTAACCACTTTTCTAGTTTACAGTTGGGGGCACAACTGTGGTTAAGAAACCGGGAGGCGTTGCCCTTAAAAGTTGCATCGATGACGAAATCCTTATTGATTTCACACATATAGAAGTTCTGTGCCTCCTGGTCTTTCATGTCCCACAGCCTTCTTTCGCACATGGTGTCATCTATTACTGAAGATATAAGAGCAATAATTAGTTTGGTTGAATATCTTGTTAGGAATAGGTCTAAATTAATATCCATGCGAGAAGAATCATAAATCATGTTAGTGCAGATAAAAATTTTCTGACAGAACAATATGATTTAAACCTCGTGCCATGCATGCGCATGTGCAATTTCAAAAAATCATAAAGAGAAGAAAATTAGAATGCTTCCGCTGCATCTTGACCGTGCACTGTGCTAATAAAGAATAATTGTACATATATTTGGTTGGTAAAACCTTATGCATGGATCATCGTTCGCCAATATCCAGATTACTTCTATAGTAAGTAATCTAAAATATAAGAAAAGTCTGAGACGTACAAAATTTGCTCTGACTGCTGTCTGAAAATGAGCATCATACACAATATTCTAGATGAAAATATTAATAAGCTAGTGTAGAAAATGTGCTTAGTGAGTTCTTAGGTACATCAGTAATTTGCACGTATTGAATTCACTTGGAAATAATTACATTTTTCCTAATCAAAAGATCGCTGTCATAGAACTACGGTGCATATTGCCGATGCATATTGTGTTGTGGACCAGGCTGTGTATTCTGTAATATAGATCTCTTGTAATGTGAACTGTGCCGAAGCCGAATACAAGTATTGCAGTTGAACTAGTGACATTTTAATTATAGCCAACTAAATATCAAATAAATAAATAAAAACAAATTCACAAATGATAAGGAACGGTCGTAGAAAAATTATGTTGCTAAAATAACGACTGATGTTTGTCCATCATTATATTTGTGGACCTTATATGGTCTGTCGTTATATAAGCCAACCGAAAATATATTTTATCAACCTTCCACTGACGGACAACTTCAATGTTTTGCACCATCACAAATTTATTATGGAACTTCTCTAATAATGATGGTTTTTCTAGTCGCTAATGTTTATGACCTCAGAGATTCCCTCATGGACAGATAGTAGTTTGAGAAACTAGCTCCAGCAGCAACCTATAGTGCTTCTAATCGATAGATTTTACTAGTTTAACTTGGGAAGTTAACTTCTGGTTTTCTCAAATAATTTAGTTAATGGTTAACTTTTCTTTTTTCACTACTCTAACCACATGCATGTCTGACAATGCTGCTAAGCTTGAAACACTGAAACTGTCAATGAACTAGAATTAAGTTTTAAGCTTGACAAATTCGTAATGCCCGTACTAGTTAGCAAAAGGCAGTAAGTGAAACGAACATGTGAGCTGAATATATTAACCATATATACACAAAAACTGGAAAGAAAAATCAAGCATTTTTATTTTTGATTATGATAGAAATTACCTTCTCCTACATATTCTATTACAAAATCTCCTTCACTGATTGATTCAGCTGCCAGAACACCCCAACCACATTTTTCTGTCTGATAGGCACCACAGACTGTCATTTATACACGAAGCAGAAAACCAATTGCAGGATTGAGTTAAAAAGAAAAAAGAAAATAAAAATTTACCTTCACTATCTGGATCCTTTTCACTTTCTGAAAAGGTCTGTTGGAACAATTTTTGGAGCAACGACAAGCTTTTGAGCAGCTGATGCACTGAACCCTGTGGTGCAAAAGATAATCGGATGAGCAAAAATAATGAGGTGAAATCATGTAAACTATGTTTCCATCATCTTGTGCATGTTTACGGAAGAAGGTACAAAACATATCATTTTAGAAAAGAGAATAATAATTACCTGCATACACAACTATCAGAACATTCGATGGAACTGCAGCTTGTGCATCCAATGTCAGCAACATCATTATTACGTTTTCTCTTGACGAGGTATATATCTAATTTCATTAAGGCTCATTAACAAGTAATATCTTCATATTCAGTATGGTTAAATTACTGATAACAAAAGAAAGAAAAATACAAGTAGTTATTCGTTAGTATAACGCTGAGTTCTCAAAACTAGATATATATAATTGAAAGTTCTAAAAATCAACAAATTTGGTGATAATAGATGATTTTTTTTTCAAGGAAAACGTAAATTCTTAGTCTTAAGCTGATGTGCAAAGGATACTTCGTTTGATGGGAGTATATGGAGGTGGCTCCAATTTAGCTTCAATTTGCTCTTTCCACTTTAGGTCTATTTTGAACTCCTGAATGTTATATGGAAGTGGCAACAGTGCAAACACATCCTGAATAGTACAATATAAACACACTACCTTAGTTGATGATATATTGATATGGTGGCCAAAGAAGAAGAAGAAGAAGAAGGGAAAGAAAAAAAGAAACACTAAAATCTGACCTCTAGTTTGTTTGTTGGAACTGCATTCTGCATAGTATAAAAAATATGTCAATATTGCCGGCAGCGTAATTAGCAATAATAACAGTAACATGAAAAACAAAAAAGATGAGTAATCTACAGGCATCCTGACCAGACCTATTTGCAAATGTTGAGGTAATCATAAAGCACACTAAATAACAAATGAAGTGTTCGCAATGGTATTAACAGAGCAATATCACACTTGACATTTGCAATAAAATAATATTGCACTTGACAATTACAAATAATTTAGCACTTCACAGTTGCTATAAAATAATATCACGTTAGGCTTTTGCAACATTTTTTGTCAGGGAACACCATCCTGCCGAATGCTCAAGTGAACAAATGGAAGTTATAGATTCCATTATGCATCTGCGGAAGAGTAAAATACAAAATAATGTACTGGAAAGTCTTATAAATATAATGGTTACACGAAAGTGGCATCTTCTGTTCACATGAAGAATTGTGATCTGAAACAGCCTAACCAGAGGCTGTTATTATGGGGATATCCTGATCCAAGCAGACTAGGCTGTTATTATGGGGAATTTTCATATCGAACGCTAAAGGTGATGTGCCACTATTTTTGGTAGGAACCGAGCAAATTATCTTTAGCAGACTAGAATGCCACCATTTTCTAAGCTGGATCCCAACTAAGGCTGACTTGGCCCTGTTGAGTTATCAGCAACCTTACAAACCCAAGAGACTTACATCGGGAAAGTGGGAAACATGTAACTATTTGAAATAAGAAACTAAATGGCTTTCACTCAAAATACCGTATTTGACAGGAAAACCAGAAATGTGAAGTCATGCTGGATAACAGAAAATTATAGCAACTCATTCAAAATATTTATCCAAAACGTAGCGAAATTTCTGAAATTAAAGAGATCAGAGATAAAATACATAGTGGAAATTCAAGAGGAGAGACCTTCTCTTGATGCCAATCACCAGGATGCCTCCAGCAAATGACTTCTCCTGGTCGGTCGGAAAACTTCATGACATACTCAGGGAATGGGACACATTTATCATGACATGCTGTTGCACACCTTATGCACTTCAACAAATGAATCTTTTGATTACATAGAAAACACACCTGATGAGAAACATAAGATGTGAGATCGAACACTGTTAGCCTTCTGTAGTTATGCACTGTATAACAACAGAACAATCATCTTAAAAGATATGACAAAGATTTTGGTTGTCTTCTTTTTCAGGCATAAACAACACATAAAAACAGTTGCTAGACAGAAACAGCAGGATTAAGTGCTATATAATTGTAACCCCAAGGTGAGAAGTCTTCAACTAGAGAAAAGAACACGAAACCGACCTACCGAATTGGAATTTAGTTAGAGAGAATATGCCACAGAGTAAGCTAACCCACTCCTCTTTTTGAATCAAAATAAATAAAAATGAGATACAGTGTAAATCCTGGGAAATATGATGAAGAGAGAACAATCTCAATGTCAACAGAAGAGTCTGTTGTTTATATTTATAATAGCTATCAAAAATAATTTTGCTTTTTAGCCAGATCAAATTAAGGCTTGCTAATAGTCAAAGTACAACTGGTGAACAATTCTGGAGTGATATTCCGATCTCATCACTAATGTGACTCTAAGATGAACATGCAAAATCTTAATCTGAAGGGAAAACGAGAATGACAACAGAATACAGAAATAAATGTATAATAAACAATATGAATTACAATGATGCATTCAAACAGAATCAAATTACACTAGAACTTACATGTTGAGGGCACTTAAATCGCTTTGATGATTTAAACTTAAGATTTTCTTTGGCACATGTTAGGTGAAAGACACACATACAACCGCGGACGGAACAAGATATTCTCTCCTCAGGTCGGACTGAATTCTGGCAAACACGGCACTGGACCTGAGAAAACCAAAATCGGTTAACTTAATGAGAAAATTCTGAATGTAGTTTAATTTAATTAATTTTCATTGGAAACTGCAATGTGGAAAGCAAATTTCATGGAGTTTCCAGGTAGAAAAGGTGGGGAAAAAGAACAAAGAAGAAGAAGAAGAAAAAATAAGACAAAAATTTTTGCGAATTGCAATATAAATCAAATTAATACTAGAAGAATAGAACAAGAATCAGCAAAATCAATATTTCTTCAATAATCAGTCAATTTGAACTCATTTTCCACACCAAACTGTAACAATGTTTATGAATGATTCTCAATAGACAACATACTAGAATAGACACTTTATATCTAGCAATCAAAATAGATATTCAACTGAATACAATCTAAATTAATACAACTAATCAGCACCTCAAACATCAAAGTGCCAACAAAATAACTTAACAAAACCTTTCTGAACATAACCGACAACCGAAAATCCACAAATACTTCATAAAACATTCAGAAATATAATGACTAACCCAATGCCGCAAGAATAAAGAGTATAGATAGCAATCCGAATCATCACAGACTAACCATAAACACTTGGGAAAAAAACCAGCTAACCACAATCATACCGGAATTGAAAAATAATAGCCAGAAAGCAAAAGTTAGCAATATAGGACACACATTTCAATTCTATTTCAATTTATTTTATTCTCTGCTTGTGCAGGTAACCATCATGAACTACAAGAAAGGGGAAAAAAACCAATAACAATACCAATTTTGGAGCTCCAACACGAAAGGGCACAGAACACTTGAATCCAACGGCTCCACATTCTTCGAAAGCCCTTTCAGTCCCGTCCCTATCCTCATCCCCATCCCAGACTTCGCCTTGCAGCTCCAATTGGAACCAGGAACCCAAACCCTTATCCGGGTCGGGTCCTTGCCCCGGCTTCATCCCAATTGCTCCTCCTCCTCCTCCTCCACTGTTTCCTCTGAATTCTTCTCGCCCGCCATCGCCAGACAACCCCGCCAATTGAGGTTCCAGGTCGAGCCTATCCGGGCTAGGTTCCGGGCCTGCCCGGGCTCCGCGAAGAATTGGCTTGTTGAGCTCGGCCGGCGAGCTGAGGTCCGGTGGTGCACTCAGTGGATTACCAAGGCATGGCATCTTCTTTTCGTTGGTTACAGGGAGGAGAAGAGAAAGAGTGAGCTGGAGTGAAGAGAGATAAAGGAAGAAGATTTTTACGTTACACTTACCGTCAATGGTGTGTGTGTGTGTGTACTTATGGGGAAGATGACTCAAGTCTCCTAGAGTTGTAGAGGGTAAAGCTCGAATTTTGGGCGGGAAACATGAAAATTTATGTAATTGTTATATTTTGTAATTTATTGGACACTAAGGCCACCTCCTCCGGTCCTTATCGCGGACTTTACTCTACTCTAACGCAGAGTTGAACATTCATCTTTAGCGCTTATCTCTACATTTACTCTACATCAAATATATTATTTTTTATTTATTTTTTATTTTATATAAATTGGTATGCATATGTATATTTAATCTTATATAAAATGTTAATTATATTACTCAAATAATAAAAAATGGTATCATATGGTATCATTTTAATATTAAAAAATTACAAAATAAAATTATAATACATCAATAAAAAAACACAAAATTATTTAGCATAAAAAATACATTGCACAAATTATTTATCATAAAAAATACATTTACTAATACACATTATATAAACATTTACCAATAATAATACACACAAAAACAAAAAACAAAAAAAAAAAAACAAAAAAAAAGAGAAAATTGTAGCGTTGATGAATAGTGTTGCGCCACATATGGCGCAACACTATTCATAACTCCTTTCTGGCGCAGAAATTTAGCGCAGTACTGGAGGATATTTTCACACAACTCTAGCGCAAGAAGCCAAATCTGAGGCTGCGCTGGAGACGCTCTGATAGGGGTGTTATCGAATTGAACCGAACCGAGCTTAAGATTTTCGAGCTCGAGATTCAAATATGTTCGTGTTCGTTCGTTCAGTAATTGAACACAAAATTTCGTTTGTCTTCGTTCGTTTACTGGTTCGACACATTCGTGTTCGTTTGTTTATATAGTCGAACTTTTCCGTGAACTGTTCGAATTATTCGACAAGTTCGTGTTTGCTGATTTTTTTTTTTTAATTTTATACCATAAAATTTTTATTTAATATTTAATATATATCCATATTTATATTAAATTATATATGTCTATAGTATATATAATATATAAAATTGTAAAATACTTTTTCGCGAGCTTGTTCGTGTTCGTTCAATATCTAAACGAGCATAATTACATGTTCGAGTTTGGATTGATTACTAAACGAATGAGTTGTTATCGAACACGAACGAGCTATGTTCCCAAACAGTTCGGTTCGATAACAACTCTGTCACACTAATTTGAAATTCCTCCTTATTAGGGGAGTGTATTCGTTTGGGTTTTCGAGTGTCATTTTGAGACTTTTTGAGATTTAAAATTTTCAGATTTTTGGACGAATCTTGTGAAATTTTAAGTGTGAAGGTGGAATTTCAAGTGTGATTTCGTATAAGGTTTTTTCTTTAGAAATTGCAGCAAATTAAAAAAATCTTAACAAATCATAATCTCAAATAAGTTAAATATGTGAGAATTTTGTAAGACTTTTTAAAATCTCAAATGAATACTCCAAGATTTTTAAAAGTCTTAAAGTCTTTAAAAACTAAATTAAATACATCAGCATTTTAAAATCTCAAAATATCTTAGAAATTCCAAATGGATACACTCCCTAAGGTTAACAAGATTTGAGGATATATATGATGGTGACACAGTTTGGTGATTTAATAGTTCATGAATCTTATTCGTTATATAAATGTTGATTGTCTAATACTACCTCCTATTTTTAATATATGTCGTTTTGAGAAGTTGCACACTAATTAAGAATATATTTTTTTGTCAATAATAACCTTATTTAATGAAGAGAGAGATGAATGTTTTGAGAAAAAATGAAGAGTGAATATGAAAAGACGTAATGTATTTATTGGCTAAATGAGGGTAAGAATGAAAAAATATGTACAAAAGATACAAAACGACATTTATTTAGCAAATAGTTGATAAAGCTAGAATGACATTTAAAAAAAAAAAAAAATAGGAGGGAGTATTATTTAGTCAGATTTCTATAAAAAAAAAAACATGTATGTTTGTATTATGAAATTTCATCGCTTTTATTGCACTGTATTTTAAATATAATATTTGAATATTGAAAATAGTTATACTTAGTATAAAAATGTGGTTGTATAATGGTTAGACGACACACTAGAACACTGGAAGCGTGTTCTTATTATATACATTATATAGAAAATAAAGTTACACCCAACATATACTTATATATGTCTTTATCAATTTTGTACATCACATGAATGGAAGATAATATAGTACACTGGCGCTAGAGGAAGCCCCGTCGAGAATGTAAATACTACAATAATTCACAGTACCGTTCAGATAAACCCTCACACAACACTTTTTATCTCATGTGGAAGGACGGTAACGCCGACCCTCCATTATCTCGGTACTACCCATGTGGAAGGGTAGCAACGTTGGCCATCCATTATCTAGTTACTATACTCATGTGCAATGTCGGCCCTCTATTATTTCGTTACTCTGTGCACGCGGTAACCATCTTGAACTACAAGAAAGGAGAAAAAACCAATAACAATACCAATTTTGGAGCTCCAACACGAAAGGGCACAGAACACTTGAATCCAACGGCTCCACATTCTTCGAAAGCCCTTTCAGTCCCGTCCCTATCCGCATCCCCATCCCCGACTTCGCCTTGCAGCTCCAATTGGAACCAGGAACCCAAACCCTTATCCGGGTCGGGTCCTTGCCCCGGCTTCATCCCAATTGCTCCTCCTCCTCCTCCTCCTCCACTGTTTCCTCTGAATTCTTCTCGCCCGCCATCGCCATACAACCCCGCCAATTGAGGTTCCAGCTCGAGCCTATCCGGGCTAGGTTCCGGGCCTGCCCGGGCTCCACGAAGAATTGGCTTGTTGAGCTCGGCCGGCGAGCTGAGGTCCGGTGGTGCACTTAGTGGGTTACCAAGGCATGGCATCTTCTTTTCGTTGGTTACAGGGAGGAGAAGAGAAAGAGTGAGCTGGAGTGAAGAGAGATAAAGAAAGAAGATTTTTACGTTACACTTACCGTCAATGGTGTGTGTGTGTGTGTACTTATGGGGAAGATGACTCAAGTCTCCTAGAGTTGTAGAGAGGGTAAAGCTCGAATTTTGGGCGGGAAACATGAAAATTTATGTAATTGTTATATTTTGTATTTATTGGACACTAAGGCCACCTTCTCCGTTCCTTATCGCGGACTTTACTCTACTCTAACGCAGAGTTGAACATTCATCTTCAGCGCTTATCTCTACATTTACTCTACATCAAATATATTATTTTTTATTTATTTTTTATTTTAAATAAATTGGTATGTATATGTATATTTAATCTTATATAAAATGTTAATTATATTACTCAAATAATAAAAAATGGTATCATATGGTATCATTTTAATATTAAAAACTGCAAAATAAAATTATAATACATCAATAAAAAAAAGCACAAAATTATTTAGCATAAAAAATACATTGCACAAATTATTTAGCATAAAAAATACATTTACTAATGCACATTATATAAAAATTTACCAATAATAACACACACAAAAGCANAAAAAAAAAAAAAAAGAGAGAGAGAGAGAGAGAGAGAGAGAGAGAGAGAGAGAGAGAGAGAAAATTGTAGCGTTGATGAATAGTGTTGTGCCACATATGGCGCAACACTATTCATAACTCCTTTCTGGCGCATAAATCTAGCGCAGTACTGGAGGATATTTTCACACAACTCTAGCGCAAGAAGCCAAATCTGGCGCTGCGCTGGAGACGCTCTGATAGGGGTGTTATTGAATTGAACCGAACCGAGCTTAAGATTTTCGAACTCGAGATTCAAATATATTTGTGTTCCTTCGTTCAGTAATTGAACACAAAATTTCGTTTGTCTTCGTTCGTTTACTGGTTCGACACATTCGTGTTCGTTTGTTTATATAGTCGAATTTTTTCGTGGACTGTTCGAATTATTCGACAAGTTCGTGTTTGCTGATATTTTTTTTTTAATACCATAAAAGTTTTATTTAATATTTAATATATATCCATATTTGTATTAAATTATATATGTCTATATCATATATAATAAAATTATAAAATAGTTTTTCGCGAGCTTGTTCGTGTTCGTTCAATGTCTGAACGAGCATAATTACATGTTCGAGTTTGGATTGATTACTAAACGAACGAGTTGTTATCGAACACGAACGAGCTATGTCCCCGAACAATTCAGTTCGATAACAACTCTGTCACACTAATATGAAATTCTTCCTTATTAGGAGAGTGTATTCGTTTGGGTTTTCGAGTGTCATTTTGAGACTTTTTGAGATTTAAAATTTTCAGATTTTTTGATGAATCTTGTGAAATCTTAAGTGTGGAGGTGGAATTTCAAGTGTGATTTCGTATAAGGTTTTTTTTCTTTAGAAATTCCAGCAAATTTAAAAAATCTTAACAAATTATAGTCTCAAATAAGTTAAATATGTGAGAATTTTGTAAGACTTTTTAAAATCTCAAATGAATACTCAAAGACTTTTAAAAGTCTTAAAGTCTTTAAAACTAAATTAAATACATAGCATTTTAAAATCTCAAAATGTCATAGAAATCCCAAATGGATACACTCCCTAAGGTTAACCAGATTTGAGGACATATATGATGGTGACACAGTTTGGTGATTTAATAGTTCATGAATCTTATTCGTTATATAAATGTTGATTGTCCAGTATTGTTTAGTCAGATTTCTATATATAAAAAAAAAACATGTATGTTTGTATTATGAAATTTCATCGCTTTTATTTGCACTGTATTTTAAATATAATATTTGAATATTGAAAATAGTTACACTTGTTATAAAAATGTGGTCGTATAATGGTTAGACGACACACTAGAAGACTGGAAGCGTGTTCTTATTATATACAATATATCACAAATAAAGTTACACCAGCATATACTTATATATGTCATCATAAATTTTGTACATCACATGAATGGAAGATAATATAGTATA